TAAGAGCAAAGTTAAAATGTATTTTATCATAATGAGTGAGATTCCATCAGCCTCTACAACATTAGTTTTGATAAATGAGAAACTCTTCGCAACAGATTCTCTGACAACCTTTTGGAAACAGAATGACTTGGGAAACTTATTGTTTTGATATTTGTTCAGTAGTTCAAATTGCTTTTGTGTCTTGGTTATTATCGGAATATTTGAGAAATGAGAATTTATTTCATCTGCGTCATTGAACCTATCTGGATGAGTATTTATAGAGGACTTAATTATATTAAGTTTCCTAAGAGAACTCCATATTGCTTTACTGTTCCTCCCAGATAGAATATATTCCATATAAGCCTTTTTCTCTCTCCGAAGAGCAGCAGCAGCATATTTCTTTATAATAGTTCCAGTGGGCAGTTGACTCTTGACTCTTTTAAACCTTAGATAAGCTTTATCTCTGGCTTTATTAATCATTTTAATATTGTATGTTAGCCAAGTTAGCCAAGGAGCTGGTGGCTTAGTAACTCTAAGTGTTCTCATAGGTGCATAATTATCAAATAAATTTAGTATGTTGTTATTTAAAAAACTTACCATGTCATTAACGCTGTTTAATTGAAAAATATCATCGCAATGAGTCGAATGAAATAAATCAGGTACGTTCATTAAAGTTAAGAAAGTCCTTAAACGTGTAAAACTTCTGCGTCCGGTTGCTTAACGTTTTATGGAGGTGACAAACAACAGCTGAATGATCAGATAACTCATGAACTGGTACAACATTGCAGTTTCTTACATTTTCTCCATCTGAGCAGATAATAACATCTATCAATGTTTGTGAGTGGCTAGTAACCCTCGTGGGTGCATCTACTACCTGCTTCAAATTGAAAGATTCTAAAAAATTGAGCATTATATCCGTAACCGATGAATTAATCAATACATTTATATTGAGATCACCTAGAATTACAATAACATCCGCAGATGGTAATAATATAGATAAGGTATTTTCTATACGTTCAAATGTTTGCGGAGTATTGGAAGAAGGAGGTCGACACAATGCACCGAAGTTATACGTTTTGCCATCGAATCCGAAACTGATCCATTGCTCTTCCAAAACGGGATCAGTATTTGTACGGAGCAACTTGAATTTTATGTGTTCTTTTAGAAAGAAGCCGACAACTCCCCCTCTACCGATTCTGTGCGCATGTATGAAATTGTAATTGGGAGTATGGATAGCCGAAGATTCGATATCATCATTCAACCAAGTTTCGGTGACTGCAAATATACCGAAATTTTCAGAAATCACAAAATCCTGGAGTTTCAGTTTTGGAAGTTAATAACCTTGTGTGTTTTAATCGAACCGTGACAACTTCTAACAGTATTTATAAGCAAGATCCCAACTAGCAAAGTAGTGCTATAAGCTTTTGGTAAAAGAACCGTTCAGCCATAAAAGCTCTTTATTGTTGTTGCCTGAACACCAAAATGCTGGCTTAATGTTGTGTGGAATGCAAATTTGCTTTCTGCAACATATTTGCTCTAAAATGAGGTGTTTAAAATATTCTTAGAGGATAGTTATATAACACCTTATAGGACCAATTTTTAACTGTTGCATAAACGGTTATACAACCATTTTATACGGCATATTTGCACGGTAGTCAAAATGGTTGTGTTGTGGAATCCATGGTAACGTTTATGCTGTGCTAATTTACTACTTTAGCTAACAAATTGCTCCCAACGGAAGCACTTATGCAAACTGTTAAAGGCTGTACATATGCAACAATATTACAATTTTTGTAGTACAAAATTGCTGTGCTTGGCATACATTTGTTGCTAAATATGTTGGTATACAACTTCACCATAACCTAACTTTCTGCTGTCATATTTTTGTTAAAATGCCATAACCACTGCTTTAAGACAAACAACGCATGCATATTGGTTCAAAAGGTTTTATCAACTGTTCAAACAGAAGATATAGATCTGGTACAAATTCTGGGTAAATCATTCGACTCTGTCGGTATTTCATTCCAGACATTTGTCAAATTGTTGTATAATACCTGCAGGTAACATCAAAATATTCTAATAAACCAAAGACAACATGGACGATGCCATGATTATACATAACCACCCGCCACATTGGGCAAACATTTATTCCTCTATTTAATATTAAATAATTATGTTTCAGTTCGAAATTACAGATATAAAGTGATAAACATTAGTGTAATTGTGTCTAAATACAGGATTTGTGGAAGATTTAATGCAGATAAGTTTAGCTGTCCATCTTAGAAATCAGACATACTTTGGATCATTATTAAAATATGAATCAAATACGAAGCCCGTAGAAATTGCCTAACTACTTTGCCCGATAATCACAATAAAATTTACTGCGCAAGTAATTCAATAGCCCTATATCGCAGTGTAGACGTTTATCATATACCTGTGTATGAAATTCACAATGGCCGATATGTAACAAAACAAGATGACTGTAATGTGTTAGTTATATATTCTTCACTTCGTCTAAACAATACTTAAGAAATAGTTTGGTTGCAATAAAGTTGAATCACGTAACAGAATAGTTGTATAGTTGACAAAAACTGAATCTTGCATTGACGCAAATGTCCTATAGCGGCAGCAAGAGGCTTACACTTTTGTTGCATAACTGTTACCTGCAGCCCTTATACAACCTCTTAAATGACTGAAGTGTCCTATTAGGTGTGCCCATCCCGCTTGTATAGCTGTTCTAAGAGGGTTTTACCAATGTTCTTACAGTATACAATGCTGTGTAAGGAATACTGTATAATCATTCTTGCATCTCTAATAGGACTGATAATTGTTAGTTGGGATGTGACAAAGCGGTACTCTCTTACAAAACAAACAGCTAGGGTTTTCCTTCATCTTTTTACATCTTCGCTACTGTTTTACCACAGACGTAAAGTTTTTGAATCCCCTGAATAGAAGGCACTGGAATGAGCTTTATACCTCAACCACGAAACTACTACACCTTCTGGTTAGTGGCCAGAGAAATGTTGAGAGGCACGTGCTCTCAAAATATCACATTTCGTATTCGGCAGAGTGGAAAACAACGGTAAGATGTCTGGCTAGAGATAGGGTGGATGGGCCGAGCCTGGGTTTCACGATAAGGGTTGTTTACAGAACGAAGCGACTTTCCGTTTTCGCTGGATAGTTACTCACCGTTCTATTTCATGGGTTTTATTCTCGCATCCAGTTGACAAAATAATCTAGGCATTGAGCGGATTTACAAATCTATCCCCTGGGAGTCTTGATTGCTCTAGCGTAGAGGAAGTCGCAGGTTGTTGAAATGAGAGTAGCCCGGCAGAGGTTTACCCGATGTTTTGCCACTTTACAATTTATTGAAACGTTTGTTCTAAGCATGATATTGTTAGGAAGAAAAGTTTGTAAGGTTCAAAACACTTTTTTTGCTTTAATCATATCTTATTATTCAACACAGCTGCCTTCGAGAGTAATACAATGATTATGGCGGTTATCCGATTTCTCGATACTACTTTTATAGCACGATCTCTCTTTAGCCTCAAAGTTGGCCTCAGTTTTGAAGATTACGTTTTCATCAGTGCTAAATTTCTTTCCAGCGAGCATCCTTTCAAGATCTGCAAGCAGGAAAAAATCCCTGGGCACAGATCAGGAGAATACGGTGGATGGGGAGCAATTCGTAGCCTAATTCATGCAATTTTGCCATCGCTTTCAGTACGGTACATTATCTTTATGAAACAGCACTTTTTTATTCTTGAAATTAAATCGTTTTTTCAGGATTTCATACTTGGAATGCTCAACAATACGATGTATTAACGGCTGTCGATGGTCTGGCCTTTTACCAGCCGACTGTTGTGGTTTTCCACGCTTCATCGCATGTAGTTTTCGCCGCTGACTGTCGATTGCACTCTAGAGTGTAGTGATGGAGCCATGTTTCATCTATTTTCACGTATCGATGGAAAAATTCATTTTTATTACGGTTAAACGTCACTAAACATTGCTCCAAATCATCACGACGCTGTTGCTGTTGATCGATTGCGAGGTCACGCGCCACCCTCTTTGCGCACACGTTTGGCATGTCTAAATATTTATGCACGATATGCCAACACGTTCCTTTGACATCATTATAGTCTTAGCTATCCCGATTAGCTTCACCTCACTATCATTCAAAATTGTTATGCTTTTCGATTTTTTCGTCGGTAACATCCCCTTTTGGGCGTCTACTGCGTGCATCATATTCGGTGCTCATATCGCCGGGTTTAAATTTGACACATCTTTAAGGGTTGATTTTTTTGCTTAAGAGGTGAATAATGGTTATGAAGCAAAGCCTTGACAGTACTTTTTTCACCAAAAAGTAATGCTGTATTACGAGACGAAAGTTTTATATGCATTTTTGCCACAAACAGAACACTAGACTGCTGGGTTGGATACTATAAATTCGAGGAGCAAGACACAATAAGCCATAGAAATAGCAGTGCCATCGGGTACTTTGGTCAGATGGAAAGGGTAAAAGACCACAAGGATAACTTAATTCCAGAGTACTGCCAGCTAACAAGATGTTAGATGTCTCCAGAATACCAGGGCAATAAGCATTTTTCGAGACGTCTGTAAGTAAATTTATAGATAATGTGAGAAGAATTTTGGTCTCTAGTGCTTTATATAGTACAGATGAATTTCTTTGGCTCATATTTTTAATTTTTTTATTTTGTTGTTGGATGTCTTTATGCTGTTTTCAATCTGTTTTAATTTTCAAATATCTTTTCAGATTTGACATTTATGTATTTGATTTAAGCAAGTACATCTGTATATTGTTATCAATAAATGTGATTTGATTTATAGGAACGTGCCATTATTCTTTTCGGTTCGCCACCTTATTCTAGGAGACCCTGTACAAAGAGATGTTTGTGGATCTCATGACCTGCTCCTCATTTATGTTTGCCAAATCAGTGTTTGCAGTGTCTATTATTCTGAATCGTGCTTGATGCCTTTTGAAAAATGTCAGCAATTCTACTTACCAGCCTCATTGCATCTTTGCTCCAAATCCTCCACGGTGGAGATAAACACCTCCTCCGCTTGTTGAAGTATCGCTACCCTGGACCATCCAAACTTCTTCATTAGCTTGATTCTGGTCGGATTGTGAACAGTGGCGGACGGGTGAGTGCGAAACAAGGTGGGGAAACGTTGGCGATCGGACAGGGCCGGACTACTGGCTCCGTAACATAGCTGGAAATGGAGAAAATCATGGCAAGTTAATTGACCTGGTACCCCTGACAGGTGTATATTTCTGTGTTATCATTTTTCATAACAACTCCCAACTTATACTTTACTTTTGACCCCTGAGATAGGCATAGCGGAATATTTTAAGTCCAGACATGACCTTGGGGGAGTATTTTTGGTCTTCAATATCCTGGACATGAAAATAAAGTGAAAGTGAGGACACACGGCGCCAGGAGCTTCAACATATCTTTGACTATTCGCTGATGATATTGAATCTGACCTTTACCATGACTTTGACGGTCCAATCGATGACCTTCAAACTGACAATGATTATGACCTTGTAGGTCAATATATTCTTATGCTTGAGAGCGTGTACTTTTAACCGTGGGAAGAGGGTGGACAATTTTACGTTCAGACAGGACCTTTTGTGGAAGCTATTTCGATCTTTAATATCAAGGTAATCGTGAAAACCCTTTTGATCAGAGTTTAGGAAAGTTTATAAGGATAAACTATCGATAAACAATAATCCAAAAGCAGCAGAGCTGGGAATTCTTGCTTGCTATTCACGGACGACCTTGAAACCTGAAATGATCCAGACCCTGCATGTTAACTTCAGGTCAATTCAATATATTGCTTGACACCCTGTACTTGTGTGTGTGTGTGTGGAAATGGAATGGACAATTTCACGTACAGGCATGGCCTTGGGTGAAAGTTATCTGGTGTTTAATATCAGGTCATTTTAAAAAACCTTGTGATTAGAGCTTAGAAATGTTTCTGAGGATAAACTATTAATAAATAATAACCGAAAGGCAGCAGGTGCTTCAATTTTGCCATGACCATTCTGGTGACTTTGCAGCTAAAATCAAGGTCAATACCATTCTTTGATTGATACCCTATACTTTTGATGAGGAAATCGTGTGGACAATTTTACGTTCCGACATGACCTCTTATGAAAACTATATATTTACTATGGTTTGACCTCCAAGGTCATGGTCAAGGCCACCCTTAGGACCCGAAGTGGATAGTCAGAGGTGAGCTGAAGCCCATTTTAACACTAAAGTACTTTTTTTTATACTCCAACTACCACGAATGCCTAAGGCCTAAGCACCCATTGGTACCGTGGGGCTATATAGGGGGATACAGGGGAAAGGGGGAACGCCACACGGACTCTGGCGAGGGAATACGTGTGCATGCAACATGCACACATTCTGGTTCCGCCTACGAGATCCGCCGGGTGGTACCTCCGCGTTCGACAGTCAGAGACCGTCTACCACCTACGGACAATCACAACATCCATAGCCAAGAGTAAAATTTCTCCTGGGACGGGACTCGAACCCGCACAGCGCAGGGCGACTGATTAGGAGACCGAAGAGTCTACTACTGCGGCCACGGCTGCTGCGCTGCACTATAGTCAGGAGAATTTACCTATAACCTATTTCTTTATCCTTAGAAAGACGCCTGAAATATTTTTGAACGGGATTTTTTACGAAAACCTTGACAAGGGCGTTCAAGGTCAGAATAATCTCTACCTAAAGTCATATCCACATGTAAAATTTTTCGCTCTATTCTTCTCCGAACTCAAAAGTATGGGGACCTTGATCTGACCGTTAATTTCATGGTCAGAGTCAAATTTAATAGCCAGGAAAATCTAAAACCACTACTATATATTCCCAACTGTTTTCCATTCCTGCACCTTTGTATCACCTTGTATATTACCCTGTATTTTTTGTATTTAGTTTTGGAGGTAACATGTAATGTTCCAATAAATAAGAAATATAGCCACGCTGTGTGATTAAAAGACACCTTAAAACCTAATATAACGTCAATTTCTTCCAAAGCCTCAAACCAGATCCAATTAATGTTTTATTCATAGCTTATTTAGGATCACGATTTATGTGATTACAGTTCGAATCCGAAGCTTCATATTAAACATTCTGGGTAAACAATCAATACTGCTCAATTCCAGTGGATCGTTAAAGGTGCATAACTGCAAACACGTATCAAGAGATAGTCGTGTAGCCCGTAACAAGGCAAGCGCTCATTTACATGGTGTTTCAGAAAATGTAGTCAGCCTCTCGGATTTGTTTTTCATAAAAACGGCTTTGTCGAAGGTCATAATGTGCGAGATCAGTAATGGCCTCCTCAAGTGATGTATGTATAGAATCCTTTCCACTACCAATAATTAATGTCACTATACTCCATTCTATTAGTTTTTGATATAGCCGTAGTAACCGTTCTTGGCGGTTACGACTTCAAAGCCATATGAAATAAGTAAACAGATCAAGTCTCCATGCAATGGGCGCAGAGGACGTGATCTGTTGTCCTACACTTCTCACATCGTAGAAAGTATTCCTAATTTCTGTTTTGACGGCATCACTTAGATCATTGGTCTTGCATTTTTTTAGTGAGTTTTCCATGGTGTTACAATGGGTAGACCTTTCTTATTTTTTGATTTTATTGGCAGACTAATCTTCAGCGCATCTGCTACCCTCTCCAGTACGCATGAAGTGGGTAACAGGGCACCGCTGTTTTCATTCTCCTCCTGGAAATACTCGAATAAATTTAGCACGAGCTGTTGGCCCTCTCCATTGATCGTATTTCCGGGCCTTGTACAATTTTATATCGAAGATTGATAACATGACTTAAATTGCACGCCGATATCAAGTAAGTTGTCACTCTGACAAATATGATTGAAGGGCACTCATACGTAACGACAAAGTTTTCGAGACCTAGACATACAACTAAGAAACGTATGTATTAGAGCTTACCGAACAAACGACACAGGGGTAGGTTGTATGTGTATGTATGAGCGAGATCGAGATATATGAAGGGATTCTGGTAGTCTTACTTTGACCCGCCAAGAACGGTGACTACAACTATATTAGATAAAACATAGTGTAAGGTCTTGCTAAGTTTTGCAAACTATTAAAAAATACGACCTTATATACTGCCGTATTATAGCCACTAGTCCGAAACAGTTATTTACCTTTTCCGAATTTGTCCCTTGAGTGGGATTAAAGTTTTCTTCAAGTGCCTTCCCAGAGACAACCTGATCTCTGATTTGGAATCAACGACCGCGAGAACACGTGTCTGGACTCGACTTCTGTACTTATTATAGATTCGTCCTTGAAGTGACCTTTAAATGACCTTAAGATGCCATTATAGTGACTAATTGACATCTGATTCGAACATAAACACCTAAATGACATGCGGTTGGGTACAACTGCTCGGCTTTTTTTAAACGTCATTGATATGAGCTACAAATGCCCACATAAAGATAAAATAACCCTCCTAGATATGAAATCAGCAACCAAACAAAACCCTACATTGTTCTTGTTGTTCTTTCTTATAGGAATCCGATTTAAGCTAATCTTTAGTGTTCTTCATGGATTGTATATTCTGGAACACACTGTATGCGCTATCAGATGCGTTGAAGTTATCGATTCCAGCTTATGTGCCATTTACAAACAAAATCTTACTCGCGTTTAGTGTACGGGGTATACGGGTCGGTGCTTGTAATTCTGCTGTTCCTGATATTACATGTTTGTTTGTGTAACCGTAATTTCTGCTAGAACGGATGCGCATTCCTTAATGAAATCCTGTTAAACCGAGAGCATCAATTGCATGTAGACAGGTGAGGGTGTGTAACATTGTAACATGCAAATTGGAAAATAATGAAGTAGTTGAGAAGGTTCTAGTACCTTATTAGCAAAACTAGATATATTCCAATGGAACAAAATATTTGGCATATTTGGAACGAAAGCACTTAAAACAGGAGCCAGTTCCAGAGAGTGATCTCTGAATGCAAGTGGGAAAACATGAGCACACTGCGACAAATACTTGATGTTTCCTTAAAGATAACACTTGAGAGACACAAGATTATAGTTTATTACGTATGTTTGAAACATTGTTAACTTACACGATGTTACGGCCACTACGGTTGCCTTTTTTAAGTACAAATGTCAATGCTGATAATATAATATAATATAATATAATATAATATAATATAATATAATATATTATAATATAATATAATATAATATAATATAATATAATATAATGTATTATAATATAATAATGTTTATTGGAATAACCTACACAAAATTGTTGTCTTTCAATAAACATAAAATACCCAAAGAAGTATAAACTTGTGCTTGGGTTCACACAAGAATGAAATACAAAGAAACATATGGGTAATAACACCAACGTTTAATAATGCATGTATCACAATATACTCGTAGTTGAGTGTAAACATTTTTTGTTTAAGTCTTGTTTGATAGTTGTGATTGATGAGATTTACTTGCGTCTTATTTATGATAACATATTTTGTTAACTTGTCTTCCAGGTGACAGCTTGTTTGTTCTCTTTCCTTTTCACATTCCTATACAGTGTGTTACTACAGCAGCCTGGAAGCAAAGTGATCATTGTAATTTTAAGATGGCACCGCGTGAAACCCACATTCCTATACAGTGTGTTACTACAGCAGCCTGGAAGCAAAGTGATCATTGTAATTTTAAGATGGCACCGCGTGAAACCAGCAAAGTCCAGAATCCCCTAGGTAGGCATTCCCGCTGCCAAGAAGACGTCAGTCTTAAGGCCAAACTGTTGTGTCTTATATTATTTCCTCACAAGATATAATACCTTTTTTAGAGGATAGTTGCTACGCTTTAGTTCGTTGTTCCAGAGACCAAGCCTAGATCCTGCCGATGAATTACCAATAGAACATGAAACGACTGTCCATGTTAGGCTCTCTTTGGGTGGACAGTCGAAGGCAGCATGTTCAGTTGCTTAATGGCGAGTAGAGTACATCTACTGTACCGCCAGAATAGCCACCCCTTAGCGGTCACAGTGTTGAATGGGCTATCAAATGCGAACTGAGATCTTTACAGTTCCAACCGATAGGTGCTATAAAATGTTTCGATGGTTTTCAAGGAAGATTTGGTTTTAAGTCTGAATGTGTAAAATTTCTGTTTCTTGGTGTTAATAGCAATAAGTCAAAAAGGCTG